GATGTAGGACCTCCTACTAGACCCTAATTCCATCCAAAGTATCAACTGCAAGGTGATAGGTTATTGTATACAGGGAGATTGGTGCTTCCCAAGAATTCCACAAAAATTCCCTTGATCGTTTCTGAATTCCATTATTCAGCATTAGGAGGACATGCTGGTTTCTTTAAAACATATAAGAAACTAACATCTTGGTTATTTTGGGAGAGAATGAAGAAAGATATTCATCGATTTATTGAGGAGTGTGATGTTTGCCAGCACAATAAAACTCAAACATTATCTCCAGCAAGTTTGCTCCAACCATTACCAATACCTTCTCAAGTTTGGGCAGATATTTCCATGGATTTTATTGAGGGATTACCTAGATCTTATGCGAAAGACACTATCTTAGTGGTGGTTGACCGATTGACCAAGTTTGCCTATTTTTTACCCCTCACACATCCTTTTACTCCTAGGATGTTACAGATATTTTTGTTAAGGAAGTAGTAAGATTGCATAGGTTTCCCACATCCATAGTATCCGATAGGGACAAGATCTTCCTTAGCCATTTATGGACTGAATTGTTTTGCAGTGCAGGTACCAAATTGAAGTATAGTTCAGCTTATCATCCATAATCGGATGGCCAAACAGAAGTGGTTAACAAGTGTCTTGGAGTGTACTTAAGGTGCATTACTGGTAGCAAGCCCAAACAGTGGTTGAAATGGTTAAGTTGGGCGGAGTTTTGGTACAATACAAATTATCATTGTTCAACTAAGTTCACTCATTTCAAAGCTTTGTAAGATATAATCCTCAATTGTGCTCAAGCATTCAACTATTCCTTCATCTGTGGAGGTTGTCAATTCTATGGCTGCAAATAGAGATGCAATGTTGGATGATTTGAAGTCTCATTTGTTACAAGAACAACACCGCATGCGTTGCTATGTTGATAAACACCGCAGGCAAGTGGAATTCCAGGTTGGCGATTGGGTTTACCTAAAAATTCAACCATATAGACTTTGATCTATAGCCAAGAAGGTGAATGACAAGTTGAGTCCTAGATTCTATGGTCCTTACAAGGTTGAAAAGAAGATTGGTGCAGTGGCATATCAACAGGAATTACCCTCTGGCAGCAAAGTGCATCCAGTTTTCCATGTTTCTCTTCTTAAGAAGGCTATTACACCACAACTGTAGGGGTGAAAGTGGGCTGGGCTGGGCCAAGCTTTGCCCCGCAAAGCCCAAGCCTACGTCAAAAAAATTCATTTTGGCCTGGCCCAAGCCTAGTATGAGTCTAACTGTTAGCCTGGCTTGGCCCGTTTATTAAAAAAACAAATGGCCTGACCTAGCCCGTTAGCCTGTTAATTTTTAACTTCCAAGCAGAACAATGAATCAACTTTACAAAATACTCAAATTCTGTTGCTGAACCAAAAATAAAAATTTCAACGTCCAAACAGAATCATGAATCACAACAAAACTCATATAATCTGCATTTAAGTCACTTTCAAAAGCAAAATACTTAAATTAAATAACATATATTTTATCAGATCCAACAAACAAATCCATACTATGTAAATTAAAATAACTACATGAATCCAACAAACACATCATGATGCTTGTAGTAAGTATAACTTCTCCCAAAAACTTTTTAATATATTCATATACACAATCTAACATGCTGAGATGTTGGCTCCTCTTACATAAGAAATAAAGTCAGATTTCTATTAAAATATAATCGAATATAATTAAGTTATAAATAATTACAATTGATTAAATTTATATCTTTTTTTTTCTTCAAGGCATACTTATTTTGTTTTATTTTATTTTATTTAAAATAAATAGTACAATATAGGCCGGCCTGTAGGCTCATAGGCCAGGCCTTATGAAAGTGGGCATACAACCTTTTTATTAAACAAGCTTTTTCAAGGCTCAAGCCCGGCCTATTTTACAAAATATACTAGGTCAGGTCTGGCCTGACGTAGGCCGAGCTTGTTAGTATATGGATGTCCTAGAGATAATCTTTTGATTAGATTAGGACATATGTGGACCTTTTATATTGTCGCAAATAAATAAAAACACTCTTTATCCTGTTTCATATTTTGTCTCAATATTATTGTTAATATTTTATATGAGTAACTGGATAAACCCCTTAGAATAGAACAGGTATCTCTTGAGTATCTGTGATGAGATCACGATCATGAGGATTCAAGGATACCACACGTTTATTCCTAATTTTATGCTCCTAGTCTAGAGACACTGAGAATGGGGATCAGTGATCTCGGGTAAGACTAGCACGACTTATCTACTTCAATTTGGATACAAGGTAAAGACCTCATGTGCTACAGATATGGAGATGTCTTAGCTAAAGTCGTGGGTGGACCTATAAGGGTATAGCTCGCACCGAACAGACCCACAAAGAGACTCTATAAGGAAATCTCATAGATAGTATCATTAGAGTAGTCTCTTTATATTTGGGTATGTCTTTCCTTAGACCATAAGTTATTACCTAGACTGTGTTCTAGAAGGCATGCTTTGATTGTATACCTCGTCTTCCTGAAACATGGAGACTCATAGGTACATTGTTGGGCTTGTCCTGAAAGAGCACAGGGCTAGGGTGATAAGCTGAAGGAATTCGTCAAATCTCTGTGAGAGATTAGGGTATCTGTAAACCGGAGAAATCAGGATGACATTTACTGGGACTCGAGAATCTATGCATAGTAAAAGAGATCATGAGATGATCTGCCTTTAGAGTCAGTAAATTGAAGATTCCCTATTTCGAATAAAGCTTACCCTAAACCGTAAGGGTTGATACGTTTCCTTACCCTAGGTTTAATGGGAAGGTAACCGAGATGAAAGGAAATATATACAGCAACCAAATATGTGTAATAGGATGATCAAGTCATTAATCTAACTAGCTCTGGGGCAACAAAGCATTGCTAGTGCTCTGTGTTGTCATTAAATAGGTTGTGGGCTTGTTGAGCCCGAGCTCATTTATGTCAGTGGCTATGTTGGACCTAATGGGTCACACACTAACACCTTATTGTCATGATGATCTAGCATTAAAGGTATTGGGCCTAATAATGGTTGTTAGCCCAAGAAGAAGTTTGGAAGCCCACCTTAAGGAAAAAGGGCACATGGATCATGTAATGGGCTTGGATGGTCTAAGACATTACTAATTAATTTAATTGGTTAAATTAATTATCAAATATTTAAATTTTGAATTTTGAATTTGAATTTGAATTTTGAATTTTGAATTTTGAATTTTGAATTTGAATTTTGAAATTTGAAATTTGAATTTTGAATTTTGAATTTGAAATTTGAAATTTGAATTTTGAATTTTGAATTTTGAATTTGAGTTTTGAAATTTGAGTTTTGAAATTTGAATTTTGAATTTGAATTTTGAATTTGAATTTAGAATTTAAATGTTTGAACGTTTGAATTTAAATGTTTGAATTCGAATTTGAATTGGCTGTGAAAAGTTGTTCCATAACAAAAGGATAAGATGAGATCTTGTTGGAACAAATCCCTTGTATCAAGAGGAGATCTTTGGAGATCATCCAAGGCTGAATGGGGCGCCACTTTTGGTTGGATATGAGTGTCATCTTGTCAATCAAACAAGCTCCAATCAGATTTGGTTGTTGAGAGAATCAGTGAGCTAGTTGGTTCAAACTTGAATGCAACTGCTCAACGTATCTGGATCCCTTTTGGGGCTGAATGGTGCGCATAGATAGGATGGTCATATGATGACCATTAGGTCATAATCTTGACTAGATAAAGACCTAATCTCGTGAGGATTCAAAGTGGAGGTTGTTGGGAATTTTGAATTGCAACAACTCCACATTTATCTCCTCTTGTTGTGCGCCACTTTTAATGTGATTAAAAGTAAAAAATCTGAATCAACTCTCTAATTCCCTCACTCTCTTGTGCGCCAACTTGGGTAAGTTCTCCTTAGGGTTTTCACAAAAACTCCTAGCCAATTCTACTCCAATCCATGCCCCACTCTTGTGAAGTTTTCATGTTGAAGACTTCACTCTTCTAAACACCTTTACCTAGCCTCCTCCTTCACACATTGGACGCCTAGCACGCTTGGTGTGGTGGTCAATTGGTGGCTTTCAAGAAAGTGTTCTTGCATCTTGACGTAGGTGGTGTGGATCAACGTTAGAGGGTTTGAACCCTTCAAACCTGACAGTGATCTCCTTGCTGTTTGAATCACAAACAAAGATAACATCATGCTGTCTTAAAGCATGAGTCTTGAATGCATATGTAGTTCCGCTCGAAAAATTTTGTTTTTCCCTCTCACATACTTCGGCCTTCAAGGCCATTTAACTTTCAGAGCCATAGGCCCCTGTAGGCCGGCCCGACCCAGTTTCACCCCTAACCACAAGTTCAGCCCCAACCTTTACCTACAGTATTGTCAGAAGACTGGGAACTACAACTTCAGCCTGAATAGGTGTTAGATCATAGGGTGAACCTTTCAGGAGATATGGAAGTATTGATTCATTGGACTGATCTACCATCTTTTGAAGACACTTGGGAATCGTTTGCTACCATTCAGCAGCAGCAGTTTCCAGCCTTTCACAGGACAATGTGAAAAGTTTGGGGGGGGGAGTATTGTAAAGAAACCCCCAATAATTCACACGTATAAGAGAAAAAATAAGCAAAAGGCAGACTATGTAGACCAAGAAGATAAGGAATAACATACAATTTAGGAAAAAGGGAACAATGAGGATATTTTTAAATGTTGTGTAACTGAATAAGAAAATAAATAGGAGTATAAAATAGGAAGTAAGTGGGCAATTATGGTTCTGTAGAATATTTGTAACTGTTCTGTAACTGAATATATAAAATAGGAAGTTAATAAGCAATATGGTGTCGAGTTTATTATTGTTAAGGAAGTGGGCCAGAGAATCCTCTGGAGAGGGAGGTTGAGAAGAATCAACCTTGTAACTGTGTCACCAGTGTTGTAATCTTCTTCATTTAAGTGTTGTAATATTATCTACAGTGAGTCTTCTTGCAAACACAGGAAGATTTTCTAAATAAAGTACAATCCTTTTCAATTATTTCTCTTTACTTTCTATTAATTCCATAACCAGTACATTACATAAGACTGCCTTAATTAAATATCGTCAAAGACAAAAGGAATTACACGGATTATTTGCCATCTGATTATCATCATCATAGGGCAGGCAAATACAAATTACTGTGGTGAAGATCATCAATCCGATCGGATTCCACCCATGAAGGTCCTTGGATCAGGACAGTTTCCAGAAAATTGAGCTTGTGAAAAATCAAAACCTGGGTTCTGCAATAGGCACATCATAATCATAAGAATTAGTGGTTTGAGGCACAACTTTATCTACTGGTTAATGGTTAATTAGTAAAGCCTACTAAACATGGCACAATCTTAATGGTTAATGGTCATTAGTAACCACAAGGCAAGATTTTTATATACTGCTCTAAACACTTATGTAATTCACCATTATTTCTTTTTTCATGAACATGAACCTAACCGTTAGATGGACATATTCATAAGCATCTACTATAATCAAACATCAAGCATACATTTTATTTTAATTTTTTTTTTACTTTTTTTTTTTTTTCGGGGGGGGGGGGGGGGGGGGGGTGTGTTCAAAGTCCAACTGACTCAACTCAACAACAGAATAATTTCAGTGGTGACCAAGACAAAATGAAAATAATCTCAATTCAGAGCTCCCATTACAAGGAAACTTTGAGATTATCTAATATTATGTAATCACATCGAAATCTAATTAGTACATCCAATAATGAAATTATCTGCCAAGTTCAATAATATCCTTCAAAAAATGTAATGGGAACATGATAGGACACCACCTCTAAAGGTGTATTCTATAAGGAAATTCAGATTCCATGACAATCATGATCAAATTCAAGCAGCAAGGCAGTTAGAAGAAAATGTGCTGCAGTGGGTGGAAGGCAACTCTGTTAGAGTCAGGCGTGGGAAGCAACACTGCACTGCAGGCAAAGAATTAGTTTAAACAGAGGGAGGAAAAGGATAGACGGGGAGGGCTAGAACTTGGGACTATTTTGGGCTTGGAGTTGTCCTACCTTAGTACATGTCACACCTTTACTTTCTGTCATTTTCTTTCCATTTTCCTTACTATTTTCTTCATCGTTCCATTTCTGTGTACTGGATTTGCTGAATTCTGAGTTGGGTTCAACTTTATCAATACAACTTCAGTTTTTATTCTCTTAATTGATGAGCTTGATATTGTATAATAATAGCATGGCATGTTCGTGGATAGTTAAATTCACGCTAACTATTCAAGCAAGACTGACATTTGTTGATGAGACAAAAACAATAAAATATGAGCACATCAGCTTGCCATACAGCACAACGTGTTGGTACTCTTAATAAGCAGAATTTCCATCTTACACATCAGCTGTGCCTACCCACAAACAACTAGTACGTGGGAATGAAAAAAGAACAAGGATCCTCTAAAGTGAGCCAGTCAAAGTTTATCCATCATTCATTTAATTTGAAGTGCATTGTGGTCTTAACCTATTGAATTTTAAGGGTGGATACACTATTACTTAGGCAACAATCTCAATGTAGGGGAATTTTTTTCCATGAAAAATATATCTGCTAATTATCAGACCCTCTTCTCCATGTTATACACAGCATAGGAAAAAGACTATCAATCCAAAACAAGTTGTAGGTGAAAATTTAATTTTAACAGCCATGCCACTTTTAAACTTTAAAGCACACCTATTATCAAAATAAAAGAAACCCCCTTTCCCTCCCATGAATCCATGGGCATCATGGATAGGTCTTCTTTCTATTCCACGTAAAAAAATAAAAATATAAAATTATGGACCCCGCATCTAAAGAATACACTCTGCAAATGGATGAACACAACCTGACAGATTGACCCAACAGATGTAATTTATGAATGCAATAGAATACTAACTAGTTGGACAAGAGACACTAGGAACAAAATTCATTATTTTTTATCTGTGTGTGGTACACACCAAATTTATAAGTAGGATTACTTGAAGTAAATAAATCCAATCAAATTATTAGAATTAACATTTCAGGATCCATATCAGCAATGGCAGCTTAATATTAGCAGCTAGGTGACACATGAAAGGGATATTATATGTATGCAATACAGAAAAAATATAAACTTTGAGAACGACCAATCCTTAGGTCATTTGGTATATTAGCACAATCAAAACTTGAGGCCCACATAACTGAGAAAAAACACTAGTAATAGGTGATTTAATAATCACAAAGTGGAAGGGAGAAGAATGATGTCATCGATTGTAAATTCTACGACTTCTGAACCCAAGCACACGAAAAAAGATTATGTTGAAAGCAAAACTCACCTCCTCTTGAAATCTCTGAAGCATGAGGCGCTTCTGTTCAAGATCAGAGGAGTAAGGGTCCAACTGCCCCTGACCTAATACGGGAGAAGCCCATGTCTGACCTTTATCTCTCTTCTGCAGTGTTATATGCATTATGTCATCCTCTGCATGTCAATTTCCAAAACCAGCATCGATCAATGAACTTAACCGAATCAATGCCAAATAAACCATATGTATTTCATCTCTGATTTTGAAAGCAGAAATGTTCTTTAATTGATTTCAAAGCCAAGTTAATATCATAAAAAAAAAAAATTGAAAATAATTTATATGAATCAATTTGATCCAAAACCTTTACCTAGAGTCCAGAAAGAAGAATCTGTCTTCACCGGGCAAGTAAGATCTTGCTGAGAAATCACACACAAATAAATAAATTAATAATAAATAAGGGGGGGGGGGGGGGGATAATAATAAGAAGAATGAGAAAGGAAAAAGGCGCGAAAAGAATTGGGAGGGAAAATGAAGTGGTGGGGAAATTAGGGTTACGTTGAGATACGGAGGATTGCCTTTGATGCCAAGTTCGAGGTGCTTGGACTGAATCTTACAGTAGAATTGCTTGGAAGGAACGTTAGGAGGGAGTTTTATGTACATATTGACCTCATCTAGGGTTTGATCCCACTCGAACACCTCTTGACCTAAATCCACACATGATTCAAATTGAGTTGAAGAAGAACAAACAGAAAGAAATTGGAGATAGGGGAGACAGAAAGGTACCGTTGTGGACGAAGCTGTGACGCTTTTCAGGGGCCAATTTCTCCGCCATTTTCTATGGTTTGGTGTACTCACCACCTTCTTCTTCTTCTTTGTTTCTGCTTCTTCCTCTTTCTCCTTCGCTTTTGGTAACAAATACGATTATGCTTGGTTTCTGCTTATTCTATACTTATTCCGGAAACTTCCATTCTAGGGATTATTTCAGGGAGAAAGGTTTATGCTTTAAAACACACAAGTTGTTTCATTTCAATTTTCACACTTAGCTAAAATTCACATTTTTGTTTTTAATTTTTTCACTCTCTTTTTCATCATCTATCTATTTTTCTCACTTAAAATGACACAATTCGATATCCTTTAAAATAACACACGTTTTTTTCCATTATTTTATGGTATTAATGTTGAGAAATTTTATGGTATTAATGTTGAGCACTGCATGCTCAACAAACTTTTGTAATGTTTCTAATGATTTAATTTCTTCGTAGGCTACACAAATAATATAAAGTTTCTTCTCGAAAAAGGCTACACACAAACTTTTCTTGATGGATTTTCACTATTTTGTTTATCAAACCTTTCATAAATGATTTTCATCCCCTTTTATAGATGAGGTAAATTCTTAGGCTTCTTTAAGAGTCTTCTTCAATTATTGGGGTTATTGCATTTATTTTGATGGTTTAGACATTGAGCCTTAGGAGAAATAAATGTTAGTTTGCATAATATATCATGTTCATAAATCATAAAATAAAATAAGAACATGATAAAGGATCTTGGGAATACATAATTTTCACATACACATAAGAGATAAAGACATATCCGGAAACGATGATGAAAGATTAACAGCAATCATCATCTTGTGAGCAATTGTGTTGAGGTAGTTTCTCTCTCTAAGCCTTCTTTACTTTGATATGTATTCTGATGGAGAAAATGACATTAGGATTGAAAGGGAGAGAGGACCATCCCTAATATATATATATTCCATAACTTATAATTTGGTACGTCCATCATATACCAAATCAATGATTGAGATTAAATGTATCAATAATTAATTGGGCCATATAACATTTAATGGTAATATCAAGAGTCTTAATATTATAATTATAATAAAATCTTTTTACTATTATAATTGACTTTTAATATTTCTAACAATAAATGCTCAGTCACCTAAGTATTAGGGAGGAATACATCCCAACAAATCTCCTTTTTCCGACTATAATGTGTCAGGTTTGTCATCCCTTTAAATTTTCTTGTAAGCACCGACTCTGTCATCATGACGCACTAGCTCAGGTCGGTATATACCTTGATGAGTTGAAGTTGTTTGTCTTCTAACATATCTCAAATTTAGAGATATCTCACATCAATATATTTTGAGTAGGAGTGATAGGTAGAATTTTTGGCCAAGTGAATCGCGCTTTGGTTATCACACTTCAGCTCATACTTCTCGTTCTTATGATCGAGTACAAGGTCTTTACCCACATCAAATCCTTGCTTGCTTCAGTTGCGACAATGTACTCGGCTTTGGTCGTTGATAACGCAATGCACTTTTGCGGTATTGATTGCCACGAGATGTCTTCCCCTATAAAGGTCGTCAAGTATCATGTTGTAGATTTCTTGGAATTAGCATCTACCCCTAAATTAGCATCTATAAAGCCTTCAACTCATTCTCACCTTCTCCAAATTAGAGGCATAACTTGGTTGTTTCTCTAAGGTACATAAAGATTCACTTCACTGTTTTCCAGTATTTTTTGTCAGGATTTGACAAAAATCGGTTTACCAATCCTACAACATACACCAAGTAATATCTTGTACATACCATTGCATACAAATTGTTATCTTACTCCCTTTCAAAATCAAAAACCCCAATATTCCTATCTAGGGTTCTTACCCTCAAACTATCATCAACTATTAGATTGATCAATTCTAACAAAGAAGATAGAAATTACGCACAGAGTAGAGATAAATATAAATATATAAAAGAGTAATTATAAACCAATCCGTTGTAACAAAGGTTCACATAGGGTTTGTGACCCTAACTACGATAAAAAGTACTAGCCAACCATGGTCATGGCTGACATAAAATTATAATAGATAAAGATGAAGAATGTAATTACAAAAAGAAGACTAAGAACAATCCTCCGTTCCTTTCCTCCTTCTGAAATCCTTGTTTTCTTTCTCTCTGCCGTCGAAAAGTAGTTTCAAATGTCCTCACAGCGTTGCTTTTATAATCCTCATTCGCTACTTTCAAAATTCCCTTCAGAAGCATGGTGATATTATTTCCCGCAAAGTGGCACTGGATCGCGCCGCTGTGGCGCAAGATCGCGCCAAAATTCTGGAAAATGGCCCAGGGCAACTGGAGTGGCTTAGTAGCTCCCCCGTGCGGATTCGCGCCACCAAGCTTTTAAACTTTCGTGTTCTCCTTCTTTCTCCCTATATAAACATAACAATTAGGTGAGAAATGTCATTGAAATAGAAAAGTCAATATAATAAGCAAATATGTATATAAAGTGCTCTTTTATGACTTAATTCTCATCATTTTCAGCTTGGAAAACTACATCTTCCAGAGGCACATCAAACCATTCCCAGATTTAAACGTTGCTGTCCCCAGCAATGTACAAGACTTAATCCAAGAAACAATCAATTAGTCCAGCATAACAATACATAGACACTCTCACACACCATATGCTATGCATGACTGACCCAATATCATAAATTTTCAACAATGTTATCAGCTTTCTAAAGATACAAGTCTACATTGATTACCCCTCACACAGATAAATAATGTTCACTCAACACTCAGTGTTTAAGGGTATCATGAACACTCAATCAATCACAGCTATAGTATCAATATAGACTCAAGAAAATTAACCTCAGACATTATCAGAATTTCACAGCATCAGTTCAGACAAACGAGCAATCATGTAATCCAATTATACTATGCAATGTCATGCCAGAATGTCATACAACATACTTCTGTTGCGAAATCGGCAAGTGCACCGATCGTTCCAAGTAATAAAGTGATAAGAAAAGTATCGTCTCCACATGGATTGGGTCGAATATCAACTAATTGTTCCTTTTAAGAATGGATGAACAAGAGTTGATTTGAAAGTAATGGTGTTTGTAACAATTGTGAATTATTCAATAATTAATGAACAATTCAAGAGAAGTTGAAAACTTAAAGCAAAAGGGGTTGAGATTTGAGAAAATATTGTAAGAAAACTATTGCAATAAAGGACGCCAACACCTTTCTGATCCCCACCTTGTAATAATGATTAATATTTATGTTTAATTACCCAATTGATCAAACAATTCACCATCTATAATTAATTAGTTAAGCCCTAATCCCTTAGTGATCTTAACCTTATTAACCCTATTGGAATCCTAATCCCTTAGAAATCCCTTTTCAAGTTAATCTTTAAGCCCAGTGAATTTTCACATTTGCAGTTCATATAGTCTATCCCTAGTGCATACATGAACAGTTATCTTACCCTTTTTCAGGAATTAGAATCCCAATATTCCTATTGTAAACCCTAACCCTCGCAATCCTAATAGAGTCGCGAATTCTAAAAGAATTATGGGATGAAGAACAGAGTAAAATAAATTCAATTGAATAATTAACCATAAACTTAACCAAAATACAAGGGGTTCACATCAAGGGTTGTGACCCTTATCACAATATAAAAGGCTAGCCAGACATATTTATGTCTGACAAAACAAAATATTCAAAAGAATTCGTAAAAACTAGAAATAACCAGAAAGAATAGAAGAAGAAATCTTGATCTTCAGTCACCGAAAGCTTGCTCTGATTCCTGTCGCTCGCAATTTCTCCTATGCAAAAGTGTGTTTTTCTCTTAAGGTCTGAGTCTCTATTTATAGAGTCTTTTACCAAGTGGAGAATCTTGATCTAATTTTTTCCGCATCTCACTGTAATCTTGTCTCTGATTTAAACGAAGATTTAAGTCGATTTGTCCGCACCTCCCACGCCACTAGCGTGGTTCCCACGCTGTGAGCGTGGGAGTTTTTCTTCTATATTCTGGAGCACCACGCAACTGGCGTGGTTGCCACGCTGCAAGCGTGGATTGTGAAAAAGACTGGCGCTACTAGCGTGAGTCTCACGCTAGTAGCGTGGTTGTCTCTGTGTGAAAGGGCTCTCTTCACGCTATGAGCGTCATACCCACGCTGTGAGCGTGGGCCTTCAGTTTAGCTTTTCCTCTTTAGCTCCAATTTGTCTATTTTCCTACGAAATCAACATAAAATCAGTATGCAATCTCTGATTAAGAATTTGACAGATCAACAGTGATTATTGCCCTTTTTGCTTAAGATTTAATCACATTCTTTCTCTTTTTGGCTTAGATTTCCTTATATGCTGAGCGCATATCAAACAATTCCCAGATTTGAACTTTGCTGTCCTCAGCAATGTAATAGATTCAAGTTATCAGCAAAGAATAATTTAGTGAAAACATGAAACACAACAACTTAAGAACTCAGACCGCTATGCATGTATAACTCTCTGTTTAAAATTTCCAACAATGCTTTTCAGTTATATCAAGAATTTAGACTCCAGCTTGAATATTCCTCAACAGTTTAAATGTACTCTCATCACACTCAGTGTTTAAGGGTTTCACACTTATCCATCAGTGTAGTAGGAATTCTATAGGCTTGAACTTATTCTCAATTGTAACTTGGCCTAGTTTGGGGTGAGAATCTTTTGGTCAGAAGCTGAGATGAGAGATTGAAATACTGATTTTAACAATACTTCCTTCTCTTCGAGGCTTTGCCTTATTTTACAAACTTGGGATTCTTTCCCTTTTTTCACTACCTTTTTCTTTCCTTGTTTGCAGATGTTTTCTTTTTTTTCTCTTTTGAGCTGTAATTAATTTTTTTTTCTTCTTTTCCTTGTTCAGCTACTGAACTTTTCCTTTTTGAGAAGTAATTTGACTTTTTTTCTTTAATCAGCATTCAATCTCTCAAGGTGTGTCAAGAGGAACAAGATTAAGCAATTTTTATCAGGTTTGAATGAACTGGTTTAAGGCTCAAAGGGGCTTAACAATGGAAATTCTTATGGGTAGGCAGTTTGGCTCTAAGTTATAAAAAAAATGCCCTTATCATTTCAGTCATGCATGCAAGCCAGAGAAATAGTTCAAGTTCTAGAAACTACCACAGTGAGGCCTCTCAAAAAGAAAATTTTCTGTTTAGGCTCAAATCC